CCATCGCCTGGTCACGTACTGTTGCTGTAGACCTTCATTAATGCCTTCCACTGTGATTTTTTTTTTTTTAATGCTGATTATTCAACTAGTAATTTGATTGGACACGATGATGCGTTATATCTTTTGTTTTATAACACAAACTAATGAAGGAGACGGAAACACATTTCAATTTTCACTCATTTTGTGCTGTGGACAGAGACCCTAGTGTCTGATAAAACCAATACAAACTCCATACAGAAGGACTGGGGATGGAACCAGCAACCTGGTGGTCATCTTGCTCTAAGGCATTAGTGCTTAATTATCATCTGTCATGCCCCTCCCCCCCCCCTTGGGGACAGAAATGTTTTCACGCCCCCAGGACTCACTATAGAGAACCTGATAACACGTATCCCTATTTTAATCTGTACAAACCACTGTACGAGGTGCTGCCACCTAGTGGCTGGAGGCTCGTTATCATTCAAGCATTACAGCAGTAGGTGCACTTATGTCCCTATGCGGGCCCTGCCCCTCTATTTGAGAAGCACTGCTCAAAGGCAAGAGCAAAGATTTTCAACATATTTACATTTTGGATTATTTTCTTAATTTTATAATTACTCTGATAAAATAATATTAGTTTATTTATTTTAAATGTATTGCTGTAATTAATGAAAATGTTTAATCCAACGCTAGCTTATTATTGGCTGAGCGGTGTTTGGATCCAGTGAGTGAGTTTTTTTTTTTTGTTTTAGAATTTTTTTTTTTTTTTTTTTTTAAGTTTCCATATTTTTAAGCTGTAAAATGCCGAGAAATGAACGGTCGTATTAGTGACTAAAGAAGGTTTATATCGGGTCAATGGTTATAAATGAATACTTTAGTGCCTTTTCATGTCATTGTAGACGAGGACAATTTCTCAGGTGGGCCGAAAATTTTTAGTATTTAGTCTTTATGTTTCTGTTTGTGACTGAGTGGGAAAACCTTGGTGTATTCTAGAATCACACGTTCATAGTTCATAGGTCGACTTGACGCGTCGGTCTGTGTTGTAAAAATCGAAATTTACTCCAAGGCACCAAAGCAGTTTGAAGACGCCTTCACGCATTGACCGTTTGATTTGACTGATAAACCAAACACATCTGACAGACACTAAACTAAAGCAAATACTAGAGTAAATATATGAACATCCGTCCTTACGATCGCAGAATTCTTCCTCACTTAAAAAAAAAAGAGCGGGAAAGAGGCGTACTACCTACAACACATCTCGCTATATTAGCCCTTAGCCTGGCGGTAACCCTGATCCACAGTAAAAACCAAATCCGCCGAGTAAAGGCTGAAACCCCCTGATCCACAGTAAAACCGAATCCGCCGAGTAAAGGCTGAAACCCCCGAAAGTGGCTGACACAAGCAGCAGCTGAGGTTTTTAATATGGAGGATAGGACTAAAAATACCCGTGACTGAAATCAACATATTCCAAAAATTGCTCTTGTAGACACGACGCCGACGTGGAATGGTTTGAAAAGTAAATATTTCTAAGTATGCTCCTTTTCATTTTTCTTATTCCATCGAGGGGGTGAAGGGGGGGACGAGGTTCTTCTTCAATAATAAATGCACTGCATCGGCATCAGCGTTGCTTACATCCAACCTCACGCTCGGCACACGCAACCTCAAGCCTTACCCCCCCTCCCAGTCCTACACTGCTGACAAATGCATGAACGCAGACTGGCACGCAAACAGCGCCAGTGCCTCCACTCGCTGCTGAGCACATGCACCGCCTACACTGTGTTGCACATTATTAAATTATAAAAAAAAACAAAAAAAAAAAAAAAAAAAACCAAAACAAAACCGAAGCAGTACATGACTACTCTACATGGGAGTACAAAAAAAAAAAAAACAGCTTGCTTCATTCAATTCTGATCCAAATAGGAAAAAATAAAACATCTTGTGCTCTCATAAATACCGTAATATACCTAAAAAAAAAAAAAAACCAATCTATGATTCCTTTGCATGTTTTTCTTAGGGTTTTTTTTAACAAATAAAGTGTTTTTACCACTCGGTAAAATTGCTTGATTGATTCCACCCGCAAATATTTTACCTTTTCAACCTTTTGCCTAGGACCGTATCAGTGTCATTGCCTACGTGAAATCGAGTTTCCTGTGTTGGAATCCAAGTATATTTCTCTCTCTCTC